GTAGTAATAAAAAGAATAATGTATACTTTAACAATTGCTTCAAAGAAGGAAAAATATTTCTATATCTGGATGTGCCCACTGGTTTTCAGAAAAGGCTAATGAGATTGTTGTTCCAATTCAAATAGAACTTGATGCCATAAATTCATGGCTGGTGACAATGTTTTCAGAATCATTGCAACTATTTGCTGAAAATCATATCGAAAATGTGAGGTCAAATATGAAAAGCTGCACTCATGGGCATATGTAATATGAATTAATAATCTACAACCAAATCAGACATGTACTTAAACAGAATAATATTGCCACGGAGAAAAATAAATTTACACAGAGAGATGGGTCATCAGTTTTCTGCTGCAAGAATGCTTAGAAGAGCAAGAAATTGAAATCAGATGAAAATTTTAAAGTTTTCTAAACATACACAACTTTCTTATCTTTTTGAATAAAACTAACAAAATGAACTGATTCCTGACATGTTCTTTGGGGAAAGGCTTTCACAATTAGAAAAATGCCTTTCCAGAATGTGAAGACTCATTAGTAATGGATGTATAGTCACTGGAGATTTAAATTGAGTCTGTGGCTTATTTTTGCCTGCCAATATCATACATGTGGGTACTACATAATATGTATATGTATATTTAGATATATACATATATATGTATATATAAAGTTGGAAGCTGAAAATGCTTAATACATTATAAGAGGATTGTTCCTATCACAGATATGGAGATATGGCATGTTCTTGAGTTGATGAAAAATATCTCACTTCTTGGTGGGACAGAGACACCTCAGAAGTAATCCACAATTTTTTCAAAGCTAATGTTAGAACCACTAAGGCCTTCGGAATAGATGAGTGTATGTGATGACTCTGACAGGAATGAGTTTCAAAGAAACAAGCTATTCTTCTATTAAATGTCAATTATTCTGAAGATGCTACTGATAATGCATTAGCTCCCTCTGCTGATTGTGAATTTCAAACAAGAAGCATGTTCAATGCAGGTATGTTTTGAGCATTCTTAGGAGAAAGAAAAACTACCCAAATTCAAACATCTAGGAGAAAAGATCCATAAATTGCACCAATGATTGGTAATTCACTTTAGTAATGGAAATGATTTTGATGGAAAAGAAACAAAGTATATTTATTTGTAAAATATAAAATTACACATACAGTTATCCAATTATGTTAAGCATAACATAAAGACAGGGTCTCTCAAATATGACTAGAGCTCTTTGTTATATAGTATTTTATGTTAGCCTAACAGACATCTCTTCTTAGATTTCTAACCTTTGTCAATACTGTATAACTGGATCAGGTTATCTAAACTGTCAGTTCTATTATACCAGGTTTTTTAGGCTCTGAAATCATTGTTGAAAATTCTATTCCATAAATACAACTTATCTATAATCTATCTTATGTAACTTATCTATAATTGTTATTAACTTGACGAAATTACAATAAGATTTCAGAGTGTGAAAAATATAAAGCTATCTGCTTATATGTCTCTGCATATACTTTCGTGTACATACCCAGAAGTACTTTTCTTGGAAACTACTCAAAATATTTGTAAGTTACATATTAATTTACTGGTATGCCAAATATGACCAGATAATTTTTAAGGAAAAAAATTAAACGCTCTAAGAATTTCTCTGTTACACTTAAAATCCCAGCTTCTTCTTCTGGATTACAAAGTCTGAAAGATTCCCTAACCATAAAAGACCAGTGTTATCCCTTCCTATTGTTCCTCCCTAACTTCTACCATGTTTAAATCACACTTGCCTACTTTGTTTCCTTTCATATTCCTATGGAGATGCCACTTTGATCTTCAGATTTCAGCATAAATGTCATCTTAGAGAGGTCTTCCTTGACTTTCCAATGCAAAGCCCTGTTCTAGAGATACAAATTTTGAAGCATGGATAAGACTTCTTTAGAAAAGAACAAGGAGTTTGAAGAAGGGCACTGACAACAGCCTTGGAAATTCTGAATGAAGATTCATAAAGGCTGAAAAACCTGCGCATATTTTGATGAAAATTGAGAACTAATAGTTGACATAGGTCATGAAGAATAAAATATAGATAGATGAAGCCACGTGTGTAAAGGACTGAAGTCAAATATATTCCATGTCTTGATCATTGAGATATGTCCACCATCCGGAATTGGTCCTTCGTATATCTTTTTGTGTGTGTGTGTGAGACAGGGTCTCACTATGTAGCCCTGGAAGGCCTGGAACACTCATTGTAGACCAGGTTTCCCTCAAACTCACACAGATCTGCCTACCTCTGCCTCCAAAGTGCTGGGATTAAAGGCATGTGCCACCATGGCCAGCTCTCAAAGAAAAAAGTGATGGGGAGATATGGGAGGTGTTGGAAGGGACGGAGTGGGCATTAATTTGATCAAAACACCTTATATGCATGTATGAAATTCTCAATAAAGTTTTTGTAAAAGTTAAAAAAGAAAATGGGGGCAAATTCCTCCTTCTTTTTCCTTTTACTATTTTTAGGCTGCCAATAGACTGCATGATGGTCATTCACGTTGGGGAGGAGAAGCTACAAGCCCATGAATTCAATTGCTAATATCATCTCCAAACACTGTCATAGACAAAGTTACAAATAATGCTCAATCTGGGCATCCTGTTGTACAATCAAGTACACAGAAAATTAACCATCATAGGCACCATACAGGAGATGTGTGTTTGGGGGTAGCAGGATATGAATAAAGAAAGGTAAAGAAAAGACAGATAATGGTCTTTGTGGTTGTTTGAATGAGAATGTCTTCAATAGGCTCCAAGTATTTGAATACTTGGCCCCAGCTAGCAGTGCTGTTTGCAGAAGTTTAGGAAATATAGACTTGCTGGAGGAAGCACATCACTGGGAGTGATCTTTGAGGGCATATGGTTTTATCCCATTTCCATTCTGTCTCTCTCTGCTTCCTGTGCCTGCTTGAAGATGTGAATTCTTAGCTTTCTGCTCTGGTTGTCTTCTGCCATGCCTGCTTTGCCCTGCCTTGCCGCGCCATGATGGACTCATCCCTCTGGAACCCTAAGTTCAATAAACGCTTCCTTCTATAAGTTTCCTTGGTCATAGTGTTTTATCACGACAACAGAAAAGTAACTAATACATTTTTGGGTTTTAAAGGAGACACTATGGGTACAGAGACATTACTTCTAATTTCTATTGCCCAACTCATTTTAGTTATAACTCTCTAAATGTGCTTCAATTTGTCTATAGCCTTTCCAGAGCTGAATACAATAACTATGATATGGTATACTTGCACATATTACAGTAGAACCATTTGTTCAACATTACAATGCCTCATGATCATGACTATATTCTTGTTATATTTGGGAAAGTACTGAGGAATCAAGTGGACAACTTGCAAAAAAGAAAAATCTCATCACTTGTCATTTTCTTGTGCTGTCTGTCTAAACAAATTCACTAAAAATAAATGCTAGTTATCAGTATGGCCTAATGAAGATACAATAAAGGACTAACAAATATAAAATGCTCAATAATATTACTGTCTCTGAATGTTATCCTTTGCCTAGCATTATTGCTCATTAATCATTGTAACAATTCTTAAAGATGAGAAAACTGAATCTGTGTGAGATGAAATATTAAGTAGTTAGAATATGTCTTACTTATTATCTACCTGTTAGTTTTGAGGAAATATAAGCATTTAAAATGATACCCAGCTTTTTGAAGTGGGCAACTGACTGGATGATTCTGCCATTCACTGAGATGGAATTTAGAGGAGATAGTAAAGGAACAGAAGAGAGTAGAGAGCATTAGGTAAATTGATAACTATTATTGCTTTAGATGCCTATGATGTCTAGTTGACACTGGCTTATGGGAGTATTGTCTGGGTTTCCTATATATGTATGAATCATCAACATACAGATGACAACAAAGCAATGGGGATAATTGACAATCACCAAGAAGTGAGTGAAGAGTAAGAGAATGAAGTGTAGGGCAGTGCCCAACTTGAATATTTCAAAGGTAAATGAGTTGACACAGAGGTGGAGGGAAACCTGGTGAGTGTGGTGTCTTTGGAAGATTTTAGAGACTAAGTTTCATGGAGAGAATAACCAATGTACACTCTTTTTAAAAAAAAAACATTAATATTTTTATTTTATGTGTATGTGTGTATTGCCTGCATGTAGGTAAGTGCACCCACGTCGTGCAATGCCTGCGGAAGACAGAAGACGCTGTCGGATCCCTTGGAACTGGAGTTACGGACAGTTGTTACCTGCCATGTGGGTGCTGGGATTCGAACCCGGGTCTTCTGCAAGAACAACCAGTGTTCTTAACCGCTGAGCTATCTCTCCAGCTCCCAATGTACACTCTTGCACAGTTGAATTATGACAATGGATGAGAAGTATCTACTTGTCTTAGCAGTACTGTTGAGAATTTTTTTGTGAAATGGAGAGGTGGGAGACTTAAGGGCTATGTGGTGAGGAGGCTGGAGGTGTGTGGTTGAGAAAAGTGAGTTTGGAATGTTTTAGATAAGAAAATTCACGATCTTTGAATGCTGATAATAAAAAGCCAGGAAGCTGGGACCTTGTGAGGAGTGATGAGAAAGAAGAGTTCATCAAATGAGAAAAGGGACAAAATGGAGCGAGCTTAGATCACTGGAAAGTAGCTCCTGCTGCAGCAGGTGATGAGCATTGTTGGTGCAAGAGAATGGGAGAAATAATTGGCGAGAGTCTGAGGAATTTTGCTTTGTCTGTGAACAGGCGACATTACCTGCTGAGATTCAACGGGAAGATGGTAGGGGAAACTTGATTCCTCGTTTATTCTGCTGACTCAATACTGCTAGATTTGGGGGGGGGGGGGTTGTCTCACAGAAGAGTGGTCGACTCAATGTACGGCCAATGCGGCGACATTACAGTCGGAACTACCACTCCCAGGGTGCAATATGGGTCCTGGGAAGTGCAGCGGGTTGTAAACGTCTCAGATCCCGCCCTATGGACTGCTCCCATTGGAGGACCGCTCACGTTCCCAGGAGGCCACGCGTAGGCGGGGCGCTTTACACGGAAGTCTGCATCGTCAGGTTCTATCCTTCTCTAGGTTTGGGCTGTAGGCGACTCTGGGCGGACCTGAGCCCCTAGGTCACAAGTGCTTTCCCCTCAGAGGGTACCCTGACAGGTAAATGAAGTGGGGAGTTCTTTGCCAAAGGCAAGGAGACAGCGTCGGAGAGAGGGCGGAGGGTAAACTAGAAGGTGCTAGGGTGGAGCAAGACGGCAGAGCAAGGGTGACTCGGTTTCTTTGCTGTCGACAGTTCGAATTTTTGAGCACCTCCAGTTTTGGCAAAGTATGTTTTGTGTCGCTGAAAAGATCTCAAGCAGAGTGTTAGAACGCGTCACTTATTACAGGATGGGGTAATAGTTTCTCTTATTAGCTTTCTGCAGACTTTCTGAAACCTAAAAACTCTTTCACCCTTGTTTATTGACGTCACTCTCTGCTTCATCTGTTACTTCTGTCTTTTCATGCTTTGTGAATTTCTAGCCCCCACGCACCCTTCCCTATATTGACATTCCTTTTTCTCCCCAGTTCCAGTAAGCCGTTGCTCTCTGCTCAAATCTATTGTTTAGCGTTCTACTTACATGTTACGGTTATTTTTTTTTTTTTTTTTTGATAGGCAGTATTTATCAAATTGATCATAGTCTTGACTCTGGTTAAAAGAAAAAAGATCTCTGACTCATAACCAGTGGATTATCAAATCTTTTTCTTGGTATCTTATTAATTGCTCTCAACTACTTGTACCACCATTCTCCCACCTTTGATCCCTGACCATACTGCCATGTTTGGAAATTTCTTTACCTTTGAATAGCTGTGCCGGGAAGCAAATTCATTCATATACTTAATATTTATTGAAGAGCTGATATATTATAGACACTCTTTTAAGTGCACAGGATACAGCTACCTGCACCAAGACATGGGAGGTGACTGATGTTAGGAACTTACATGTTTGGGGAACAGGGATAAGTAGGAATAATGTCAGTACGATGGTGTGTGTTGGTTAATGCAAAATTTAAAAGGTAGTTTACTTGACAGAGTACAATCCTTGAGAAAGTGAAGAGGAATTTTGGATCATTATTCAAAAACAGTACTTGTGGTGGCAGTAAGAGTAGTCTTGATCTGTAACCTGACTTTTCACAGACAGCTCTTCTTTTCCATTATCTATCATGACAGTGTTTTTTGTTTTTTGTTTTGTCTGTTCCAAGGTTATTGCATCACAATTCATGGTTTATCTGTCAGTGACTTATTTCCTACTAAGACCCAGACAGAAGAGTTGGGGATTGGATTGCTCTCAACTCAACTTTCTTATCTGAATTAGGGAGAGAGTTTGATAGTCAAAAAACAAAACAAAACAAAAAACAAACCCCTACTGTTCCTGTCAGGTCCTATAGGATATGGAGTGACCTACCATTAATGATATATTAAGAATCAAAGTGTACCCAATGGTCATTCATCTAGCCAACAAATATTTGAAGGAATATTATATACCAGATATTGTGCTAAGGCTGGACAAATAGGGTAAAACAAACTCTTTAGCCTCTCTTTTAAGCAGGAATAATGTTAACAGTGCAGTGAGGAAATTGCTGATGCATAGGCTGATACCTATATTTCTCTTCATCCAAGGTGAGACTCATGTAATCACTCAATTTTAAGAAATCTGACCAATTATGGACATTCTTAGATTATTCATTCATTATACCTTATAATCTTTCTCCCTTTGTACCATGGCTCCTTTGAGTATAGGAGACTCTTCTTCCTCAGCTTCATATCTCCCATTGTCCACTACTTTTTGCCTAAATAATTCAGGCTGGCTTTGAACTCACTATGTATCTGAGGCTCACCTTGAACTCCTGATCTTCCTGCCTCTACCTCCCAAATCCTGGGATTAGAAGTGTATACCACCCTACCCAGCTACAACAGGCTTTTTAAAGTCTAAGGTGTATTAGGTTGCCTTTCTAGCTCATAGCTCTAAGGTCAGGCCTCTAGTATCAGTGAGGAAAATGATGAGGTAGGTAGTTTTAGAGACTAGAGAGAGAAGTTGGCAATAGTTATACGGAGAGGAGTGAATAGGATTATTTGAGAGAGACAGTAAGTTTCTAAAGTGAGGGTTGATTGTAGTATGAATTGTGTCCTCTAAACAGCTATGTAGAAGTCTTGACTTCTGATACCTGTACATGGGATCTTATTGGATATAGAGTCTTGCAGATATAATTAAGATTTAAGTTAAGATGTCATATTAGAGTGGACACTTGACCTACCATGACTGGTCTCATAAGAATAGAAGAGACACTGAGACAACGTTCTGTGAAGACATAGATACACATAGAGTACTATGTGACTACAGAGGCAAAGATTAAAGTGCTGCAACTGCAAATCAAAGAATACCAAGAATTGCCAGCAAACTACAAGCATCCAGAAGAACAAAAGATTTTTCCCTACAGATTTCATAGAGAATATCATCCTGCCTATACCTTAATTTGAAGTTTCTGGTCTTTTGAGTTGTGAGATGATAAATAATAAATGTCTGTTAGTGGTAAACCACCTGTTTGGGGCACTTTTTATGGAGTCACAGGAAACTAATTTAGGATTCTTGGCACAATTTAAGTAAAATTAGGATGATGGCTTGTGGACCAAGTGAGGAATGTTTAAGGGAATTCGGAGAAACAGTGTTGAAGAAAATTAAATTTTTTGATTCCCTCTCTGGCTTATGTTTTCATGCTTTTTCTTTCTGAATATTATTTTATATAGCATTCTTTAGTTTATTAGGTATTCACACAGTGCTAACAATTAGTGGAGTTAGGTTTTCTGATTTCAAATACAGTCACTGTTCTTTCTGCTACAGTTGTTTCTGTTATCCCAATACTTTCATTTGCAAGAGTTACAGTGGGTGCAGGCAAGATTTGACTATAGGTGTCATGTTTAGCAGTATAGGAGAGAGGAAAAACATTCCTATTAGTGATATCTGAAAAGAGAATCAAGTTTCTTTTGCCATGTATCCAGTGCCTAACAGCCTGAATTTCAGTTAGGAACTACTTTTATCAAGGAAAAGAAAAACCTGCATTGCTTCTCTAACTTATCCATTGTTCCCAGTTTTACTCTGAATAGTGTGCTACCTGTTCTGGTATATATACGTTAAACTTAAGAATTGTTTTCACATACCCCTTTTTCTCTTAAGTTCCTCTAGCCATTCTTTATATGTAACTGTCTCCAGGTAATAGTAATTGTACTTGAAGAGATCAAGAGGTCAACACACTTAACAGTTAAACTTGTTCTTTCTTGAGGCTTTCTTTCCCTTTGACCTCTGGACCACCACACTGTTTGACTTTCTTTACTTTTCCCAGTTGGTCCTCCTGAGTCTCTACTCCTCTACCTTTACCTCAACTGTTTGTGTCTTGGGATTTATCATTGGCACTATTCTTTTTTTTCTGCATGCAATGTGTCTTCACATGAATCATTTCAAATGTCAAGTTCACATGATAAAAAAGGTTGATAAAAATTGGTGATAAAAAGATTTTAGAATCATTTCCTTAGGAAAGTCAACATTTAGTGGTGAACTCTAACTAGAGGGAAAAAATCATTAAGAGGAAAGCAAAAGAAACCAGATACGTAGGAAAGTTTCCAAAAAGAGTATTAATGAGCTTTTATCAGTGGTTCTTGAGAGCAAGTAGTGTGATAATGGAAAAAATAATCATTATTTTACAGCATAGAGGCTGTTGGTGATTGTAGAAAGGATGGTATTGCCAGTGCTAAAGGCAAAAGCCAGAGTACAGTCAGTTAAAGAGTTAAAAACAAAGTAGAAAAGCAAAGATGATGTATAGACAAAAGTCCAAGAAGTAGAATAGTAATTGAACATAATGAAACATGGCCAAGGAAGGCTTTTAGGATTAAGGGCGATATAAAGTATGAGACAATGGTTTGGAAACTATAGTTTTCTACATATTTGTATGGAAGATTCTGGGGGGTAAAAAAGATTGTTAAAGATACTACCCTGGGAAATATCTGTATTTAGGCAGTAGGAATGAAGAAGAAATCCTAAGAGAAGTTTAGTTGAAAAGACGTGTGAATACCTTCTGCTCTGTACTGTTCTTGGGTACTGGGATTCCAGCCAGGACTTGGCAGATTCCTTGACCCTAAGCATTTGTGCTGGATAGCTTTGGTTGTCAACTTGACGCACCTGGGTAGAGGGATCCTTAGTTGGGGAATTGCCTTCACTGCACTGGCCTATGGCCATGTCTGTGGGGTATTTTCTTGATTGTTGAGTGATGTGGGAGGGCCCAGCAACCGTGGGTGGTGCTACCCCTGGGGAGGTCTTTCTGTATTGTATAAGAAAGCAGTCTGAGCATGGACCAGGAGAGCAAGCCAGTAAGCAGCATTCCTTCATGGCCTGTGCTCCAGCTCCTGTCTCCAGGTCCCTGCCCTGAGTTCCTGCCTTGGGTTCCCTCAGTGATCAACTGTGACCCAGGAGATGTCAGCTGGATAAAACCCTTTCCTCCCAAGCTGGTACTGCTCAGAGTGTTTTGTCAGGGCAATTGAAAATGAAGTAGATCAGAAATTGGTACCAGGATCATGGGGTATTGCTGTGACAGGCCTGGCCTTGGTGTTTTGGGGAGGATTGTGGAAGTGTTTGAAACTTTGGGCTGGAAAAGCCATTGAGTACTTAGAGTACAGCTTGGAACAGTTAGCTGAAAGAGTTGTGGATGATAGAGACCTGGCTTTTGAAGCTTCAAAGGGAAGTGGAGACTATCAGGTCTGTTTGTGTCATATTGAGAATCTGTGGGTTCTGATCAGCTGGGACTGAAGAATCAGCTATGATTAAGAAGAGACCAGAACCACTGAAGTAAAACCTTTGCTTTACTGGGACAACGGATGTTGGTCAGCTAGGGCTGAAAAATCAACTGTAAGTAACAAACTGTGGCAAAATCTTCTGAGAAGTATTTCCTCAGGGTCAGCGTACAGAAGTTATGGTCCAGAAGGGGCCCAAGCCTCCATCTCAAGCTGGAAGCAGGACTTGGCAATGTGTAAGAGTCTCCTCCGTGGTTCTGGTGCTGAAAGTATGAAGGGGGTCACAGAGAGCAACTGAGGTTAGGCACCCTGAGAGGCCAGGAAAGGCCATTGGTGAAAATGCAGCCTCAGTTACAATGAAGACCCCAGAATTGAAGGGGTCATGGAGAGAATCTGAGGCTTTGCACCCCAAGAGGCCAGAAGAGGTTGTTGGTGAAGGTACAGGCTCAGGGGGAGACCCCAGATTTTTGGAGATGCCAGGACCATGGGACAACCACCAAGAGCAGCAGCAAGTGTGTAAATGGAGCTGGCCTGGATCTGTGAGATGACCTGTGTGTGCTGTGGACAGCAGAGTCAGAGAAATAGAGCTGCCATAACCCTTTAAGAGCCCAGAAGATCAGGAGTGACTCCAGATGTCCATCCCAGAGCTATTTTGCTGGACTTAGGTTTTACTTAGGTGTGCCCAATTCTTCCCATTTGAAATAAGACAGTACTTGTTTTGGATTTTACAGGAGCCCCAGTTAGGAGACTTTTAAAAGAGACTTTGAAGTGTTTGGTTTTTTTTAAGGACTGTGGGACTTTAAGGCTATACTGTCCTATGTTGTGATATTAACATCATTTCTTGAGGACAAGAGATGGAAAGGTTATGGTTTAATTGTGATGTTTGTGTCAAGCTGACAAGGGGTCAGTTATGCCGGATAGCTTTGGTTGTCAACTCAACTTGATACACATGGGTAGTGGGATCTTCAGTTGGAAAATTGCCTCCATTGAACTGGCCTGTGGCCATGTGTGTAGGGTATTTTCTTGATTGTTGAGTGATGTGGGAGGGCCCAGCCAACTGTGGGTGGTGCCACCCTCAGGCAGATCTTTCTGTATTGCATAAGAAAGCAGGCTGAGCATGGACCAAGAGAGCAAGCCAGTAAGCAGTGTTCCTCCATAGCCTGTGCTTCAGCTCCTGCCTACAGGTTCCTGCCCTGGGCTCCCTCAGTGATGAACTGTGACCCAGGAGATGTAAGCTGGATAAACCCTTTCCTCCCCAAGTTGGATTTGGTCAGAGTGTTTTGTCACAGCAATTGAAAAATGACTAGAACAGAATTTATAGCTTCCTGTTGTGTTTTATAAAGTATAACTGAATTATTGGCATCTAGACAAGATTGTTTTAAATTCAGGTTTCAGAACCTGACCTAAGGCTTAAGAATCAGAACATTAAGCGATATCAAATTACTCATTCTGCCAGCCAAGATGATTCATAGTGTCACTAGAGTTTGAGAACCACTGGTTTATTGGGTAAAAATGAACATGCTAACAAATGATTTTATGTTGAACAGTTAATTTGTTCATCTCTATTGCTTTTACTATCAAACAAGGGAAACAGGCCTGTTGTAGAAGGCAAAACAAGCATATTCACAGACAGAATATAAGGAAAATAACCTTAAACTCATGCTGTATTGATTGGCCCAATATTTGATTTATGAAGGGTCCTACCAGAATTTATAAAACCATTCCTCTGTTGTAGAAGGGTTAATTTTACTTGGTATCTGTTAAGGATAATATCTTTATATTACAGGTAGTATATCGTATAGGCTTAAGGCTATATCCCTGTAGCTACATAGGTTCTACAATCATACTGTGTGAGTTTAAATCACCGTATCACTCTAGCTCTGTAATTTTGGGTCTCTGCCTCAGTTTTCTTATTTATAATAGGAGTGCTGTGATTATATATAATCTCATTGAGTTGTGAGGATTAAATGAGTTAATAATTGTAAAGTACCTAAATTGGTGTCTGTCACAAGGTGAACACTTAATAAACATGTGTTACTGTTATTAACAGCTGTCTTTGTGAATCTAGAGTCTAATATTGCTAAAGTATTTTCTTAGGATAAATTTTCAAAATGGAATTATTGCATTAAACTATGAAGACATTTTTCTGTCCTTCGCTATCTATGGCCATTGCTTTCAAAAGGATATCAGTTTCTGCTATATAATTTTAAAATACAGTCTGTTTATCACTAGTATGTGAATATCAGTAGTCTAAATCATTAGCTTATAGAAGACCATGAGCTTGTTCTCCTTTTTCTCTTAACCCAAGGCCTCAGGCATAACTAAGCATACCTTCTATCACTGAGCTGTACCCCTAGTTCCCATTAAGTCTTTATTAATATTCATCTTATAGTGCCTCATTCAATACTATTTACAGATGGATGTTGATAAATGATGTTACTTTTAAAAGGTCATACCTAAAAAAGTATTCAAAATCTTTTTCCCTTTGACAGATTGAAGCCATGGCCATTCTTTTTGCTGTTGTTGCCAGGGGAACCACTATCCTTGCCAAACATGCCTGGTGTGGAGGAAACTTCCTGGAGGTGACCGAGCAAATTCTGGCTAAGATACCTTCTGAAAATAACAAATTAACCTACTCACATGGCAAGTGAGTTCTGATCTCCATGTGGTAGAGGGAAGAAATGAATTCTTTTGTAATCAGAACAGTAGTAAACAAGCTTTTAGGTGGATTAATTGAAATAAGCTCAGAGAACAGTGACTTGACTAGCTTATGAAATGTTTGGTACTAAGCTAGACAGGGTAGCTTATGCCTGTAACCTCAGTACTAGATAACTATGAGTTCAAGGCCAGCCTAGATGACAAAATGTGACTCTATCTCAAATTTAACTTGTGATCATTTTATTTTATCATCAAAGTGAGATTATTTTAAAGAAAGGTATGAAAATGTTTATGAAGATTACTTTAGTATAGAATTCGAGGATATGTAAAATATTGCAGATAATATAAATAGTACTCTTTTGTTCATTATTTAGGTAAATATTAGCATAATATTTGATCAATCCATATTTAGTTCTTAGTTCAGGAGATCTTTACTACTTTCTGTAGTTAACTCCTTTTACAATTTGTCTATGCTACTGTCAGAGAGGCCCCAAGATACAGAATAGATATGTATGAGACAGTCCAGAAATGAGTAGTTCAAGATCTGGTAGGGTAGCTCTGCCATTATTGCCTTCCAACTCCTGGCAAAACAACTTCTTTTAGTTGTTATTGTATCCCAGTGATCTTTGTTTTTAAAGGCCAGGCCCTGAAGTGGCCTTGTATTTTATTGTTCAGTAGTTTCTGCTTACATTTTTCTGTTCACTATGTAGTCATGTAGCTAATTAGGTAGAAGAGAGGCTAGGGAATTCCATCTCTGGCTCTGTGGTCATAGACCTAGGTAAAGCTCTGTTACTCTGGAAGAATATATTATAGGATGGCAGGAAATGACTGTCAGTTTTCCCTTCTCTAGCAATCCAAATACGTGGGTGAACTTTCCTTCCCAAATGTGAATATACAATTCTGAAGGAAGTAACTCTAAAGACTTAATCTAGTTGCTGTGTTTTGTTATATGTCCATTGTTCATGGGTGATGCACAGTCCTCTCCCATCAGACCCAGGAGTCCTATGGAACACTGATCATGAACTAAAAGACAAGTCATAGTTTCCCTTGCTATCCTAGCCCAACCCTATCAATAATGTTGAAATAAGAACAGAATCACCAGAAGATATTAGAAGATCTCATTTGGAAAAGGGAAGAACAAGAAACATAGAAATCATTGTTACTAGCAGTGTTCAAAAACCGCTTCACAATTTCAAATCTCTAGACTGGGGTGTGGTTAGTGGTTCTACTTTTTTGGAGAAACTTCTCATTTTTTTCTCCCTGACTTTTATCTTTGTTCTCCAGGAAGTTTTTCCTATCTATTCTCCTTTTTGGCCACATACAAAACAAGTGTCAGAGAATATGTCACCATTGAGAATTCTATAGGTTTTATAGTCTATTTCTTACAGTTTAGGTTTAGAGGCCCAGAGATTGCTAAAGGGTTAAATAATCTGTGTTTTAGGAACCTTATAATTCTTCATACCCTTTTTAGGCTTGCAATATGTGTGTTTCTAACTAGTTCATATGGAAGCGGTGAAGGGAAAAAAAACATATGAAATCCTTCTAGAGTGAGTCTGGGCATATATCTTCCACCCACATTATAGCCAGAATTTAGTACCATCTAGGTACATGAGAGGCTAGGATATGTAATACAAGTACAATGCAAATTTTAATAGAAGAAAAGATTTTCTGCATGCTGTACTTCTGTATCTGAGCCTTCACCTGGTTTGTCCCCCCTGCTGGGATTAAAGGTGTGCACCACCATGCCCAGTTCAACTTCCTTTCTTGCACAACCCAGGACCACCTGCCCCGGGGTGGCACCACCCACATTTGACTGGACAGTCCCACATCACTCAGCAATCAGAAAATGCCTTATAGACATGTCCAATCCAATAGAGGAAAATCCTCAGTTAACATTCTTTCTTCTCAGATGTGTCAAGTTGACAACTGAAGCTAACTGACACCTGGCTAAGGCTAAAGCTTCAGAATCATTTAACTTGTTCATCAAGTCTTTACCTACAAGTTTGTTAGTCCACTCCCTCTCCATGGTTTTTTTTTCCTTCAGTGGCCTTGTCTTCCACTACTTTAGTCCTCAGTTTTGTTCTCCACCCATACTCACCAATTAACATTCAATAAGTTCATTCTTTCATGGCATTTGTAATCATTCTTACCTTTACCGTACTATGGTTACAATACTTAGGTTTTTAAAAATCTGCTCAGAAAGACAAAAACAGGTGTGGAAAAAAAAACCATCAAGTATGATAGTAATGTTGTAGGATTGGAGCTCAGGAGGTAGGTTACATACAGGTTTGGGGAATCATTTAATCTGAAAGCATTCCTTGCCCCAGGCAAAAGTGTTTTGACGCTTCACTATTCTCAAAGCAATATACAGTGTGGTTCATGAAGTCTTGTTTAGTCAGTGTCTGCTTACTTTTCCAGCATCATCTGTCCAGGCAATATATTTTTTCTGCATGTTCTATACTTTGATTTTGTGAACAATTTTACTTTCCTATGTTTATTATGTGCTTTTTTATCTCCACTTCCTTATGCTTGCTGGTTCCACACATTTGAACACCCTAATGACTCTTTGCATTGATATCTCTTACTTATTCTTCAGGTTTCAGATCAGATACCATGTTTACCCTTTGGTAAATCTGCATTTCCAGTTTCTGCTATACCCCCAGAGAACCATATACTGCCCTTAACTTCCTCATCATTTTGTTTGCCATGTTGCACTATAATTCCTTGCACTGTGATCCCCAAGAAAGCAGAGACTGATGGTTTTACATTCTGTATCCTTAGTATCTAGCACAATAACTAGATCAAAGCAGATACTCAAATGTTATTGTTGAGCGTTTGATAGCAAAGGTATTTGTTTTGCCATATTAGGAAAAAGCAGGAGAATAAAAACATGTGGCCCATTGGAGGTTAACTTCAGTTGTATGCCCCTTCTAAGATATCATCTCTTGTTCAGGCCTTAAGAGTACAATTATACTTTGTAGCTATCATTTTAATAGTAATGCACATGCTATTGTAGGTAAGGCAGAGAACTTCTTTTCGTGTCTTATTTGTTCCTATCAGTTCAACCAGAGACAGAGATGTATGGGGGGACGAAAGGGTGAGAATACATTGTATTTTAATTAATACAGTGAAGTTGGCCATACTGAACTTGCATATGTATAGATAGAACTTAAAAGCGACAGAAATGTTACTTTTAATCACAGTAAGTTTTATGTCTTATTCTACAGTTATCTGTTTCATTACATCTGCCAAGACAGGATTGTGTATCTCTGTATTACTGATGATGTAAGTAACTTGAGACATATTATTGCTATTTCAGTATACTAATATAGTCTGTTCTTAATTGAATAGTGAATTCTTAATTCAGTTATCCATACGTATGGTGGGTAAAGGTGATATGAACTTTGTAGCTGGAATTTTTTCTTTACTTTGCATTTGTTATACAGAGCAGCTTATGACAAAGTTTGGTACTTGAAAAAAAAAAGTATATATATATATATAT